TACTAGAGAGTACTTCTTTATGTATTATTACTCCTTGAGAGTACTTCATTATGTATTATTACTACTAGAGAGTACATTACTTCTTTATGTATTATTACTACTAGAGAGTACTTCTTTATGTATTATTACTAATAACTAGAGAGTACTTTTGCTTCAGTAACACTGAGTATTTATACTCTGTAGTATCTGAGTACTTCTGTTATTGTTATTGGTCAGGAGGTCTAACCCAGACCAGGACCAGGTTGAGATCCTGGTCTAACCCAGACCAGGTTTGTTGTTACTCAATAAATAAATAAAGACAGAGAGGACTCATAGTCAAATAATCCGGTTTATTAGAGCGCAAGACTCAGCATGAGACACACACACACACACACACACACACACACACACACACACACACACACAAAGACACACACTCACAGAGACACTCACACATACAGAGACACACACACACACACACTATAAACAGTGTGTGTGCTGATAAGAGTGCAGGACGAGGACACGGCAACGCTGGCGGGATGTTTATACAAGACACTCTCCGTGTGTGTGTGAGTGTGAGTGTGTGTGTGGTCACTCTCTCTCTGTCCTGGTCCTCAGAGGACTCACCATTAAGGTCTCTGTTTCTGGTCTCTGGTCCTGAGAGGCGTTCAGGTGCAGCAGGAGATCAGATACCTGAACCTGTGATGATGCTGCACGGAGGACACCTGAGAGACAGACAGGCAGAGAGACAGAGAGACAGACAGGCAGAGAGACAGACAGAGAGACAGAGAGAGAGACAGACAGAGAGACAGGCAGAGAGACAGAGAGACAGACAGGCAGAGAGACAGAGAGACAGACAGAGAGACAGGCAGAGAGACAGAGAGAGAGACAGACAGAGAGACAGGCAGAGAGACAGAGAGAGAGACAGAGAGAGAGACAGAGAGAGAGACAGACAGACAGTTTGTTCTGTGTGTGTGTGTGTGTGTGTGTGTGTGTGTGTGTGTAATTACAGTGTAGAAAGAGGAAGCAGTCATTGGTCGGTTCTGCTCTGCAGCATCTGAGGATTGAAGCTCTGTGATTCACTCTCAGTGTGTTTCTATGTGACCACAAATACACAAATATATATATATATACATGTATATATATACATATACATGTATGTATGATGTGTATATGTATATTACATGTGTGTATGTGTATATATATATACACATGTATGTATATGTGTATATGTATATTACATGTGTATATTTATATATATATACAGGTTTGTGATAAGCATAACCTCGGTTTCAATGGTTCTTTAAGAGGTTTTAATGGTTCTTTAGGATGTATCAATGGATCTTTAGGAGGTTTTATAGGTTCTTTAGGATCTTTAGGAGGTTTTATAGGTTCTTTATATATAACCATCTTTTATAGGTTCTTTAGGTTCTTTCAATGGTTCTTTAGGAGGTTCCAAAGGTTCTTTAGGTGGTTCCATGTTTGTCTGTGTACCTGTCTGACTGAATGTACCTGTCTGTCTCTCAGAGGTTCTGGTGAACACCAAGTTGGAAACGTCGGACCTTCGATGGACGAACCATCCGGCTGAAGATTCTCAGGTACACATACAATCTGTTAGCTTAGCGCTAACATTTACCATTGACGTCAATGAAGAATGCTAACCCGTAACCACTGGTCTCTCTCTGCAGTGGGAGGAGCTCAGCGGAGTGGACGACGAGTCGAACAGCGTGAGGACCTATGAGATCTGCACCCGGAACAGTCCGTCCTCCTATTGGCTGAGGACACGGTGGATCCCCAGAGGGGCGGCGACCACGCTCTACGTGGAGATCAGGTGGGTTCTATAGGATGTTTCAAAGGTTCTATAGGATGTTTCAAAGGTTCTTTAGGATGTTTCAAAGGTTCTTTAGGAAGTTTCAAAGGTTTTTTAGGATGTTTCAAAGGTTCTTTAGGATGTTTAAAGGGTTCTATAGGATGTTTCAAAGGTTCTTGAGGTGGTTCCTAAGGTTATATAGGATGTTTCAAAGGTTCTTGAGGTGGTTTCAAAGGTTCTTTAGGATGTTTCAAAGGTCCTTTAGGATGTTTCCACAGTTCTATAGGATGTTTCAAAGGTTCTTGAGGTGGTTTCAATGGTTCTTTGGGATGTTTAAAGGGTTCTATAGGATGTTTCAATGGTCCTTTAGGATGTTTAAAGGGTTCTATAGGATGTTTCAATGGTTCTATAGTAGGTTCCAAAGGCTCAGCTGTGGTACCCATGTAATAAGTTGATCAGTAATCAATAATGGGTTCTCCAGGTTCACGATGGTGGAGTGTGCCAGTCTGAACAGCCGTCACTGTAAGGAGACCTTCAACCTGTACTACTACCTGTCAGACAGCGATGAGGCCACCCCCACCCACCCGTCCTGGATGGAGAACCCGTACACTAAGGTGTCCACGGTGGCGGCGGACCACCTGATGACGAGAGGAGAACGTCGCTCCAACGTGAAGGTTCTGCGTCTGGAGCCCCTGAAGGGGGCGGGGCTCTACCTGGCGTTCCGTAGTGAGGGCGCCTGCATGGCGCTGCTCTCTGTACGCGTCTTCTACAGGAAGTGCCCCCCCCTCCAGCGAGCCTTCGCCTCGTTCCCCGAAACCGTCCCCCACTCATTGGTGGAGCAGGTAACCCCCCCCCCCCTAACCACGGTAACGGCAGAGATCAGTAGCCAGGGTGCCCTTTATTTTATTTTGAAAAGTTGTCATGTAGTTATCAAAATAAAAGTATATTATTTGTATTACAGTATCAAAGCCTCATTTACTTAACAAAGTAAAAGCTTCTTTATATTAGTTTACAAAGTAAAAGTCTTGTAATAAAGCAAAAGTTAAACGGTACCAAGACTCTTATTTTGAAACGTGTGTGTGTGCTGCAGGCTCAGGGTGTGTGTGTGGAGAACGCTGTGACTCCGCCCGGAGAGCAGTCTCGACCTCCCAGCATGCTTTGCGGTGAGGATGGGCAGTGGGTGGGGCAGCCCACGTCCAGCTGTGCCTGTCGCCCCGGATACGAGGCGGGTGAGACCGATGTGCGCTGTCGAGGTGAGTTTTCAAAATAAAAGCCCTTTGTCACTGAGTTTATAAAGTAAAAGCATCTGATGACACGACTCTCTTCCTGTAAACCCGTCAGACAGACAGACAGACGAGGAGACGTGAGCTTTAACGGTCAGTCACGCTAACATTAGCCGGCTAGCATCACAGAGTAGTATAGCATAGCTTCTTAGCCTAGCTGGTTAGCCTTCCAGCTAGCTAGGCCTGTTTTAGCAACCAGGCTTCGTTCGGCCTCAGCTCTCTGTCTGTCTGTCTGTCTCTCTGTCTGTCTGTCTGTCTCTCTGTCTGTCTGTCTCTCTGTCTCTCTGTCTGTCTGTCTCTCTCTCTGTCCGTCTCTCTCTCTGTCTGTCTGTCTCTCTCAGTCTGTCTGTCTGTCTGTCTGTCTGTGCCTCTGTCTCTGTCTGTCTGTCTGACAAACAGTTTAGTTGTCGAAGCTTCCTGTTATTCTTTTAGAGGTCATAGGTCAGCTGACTGCAACCAGGAAGTGTTGCAGCGGGGCAACCGACCGGGGGGGACGCTTCTGGTTAACACACACGTGTGTGTGTGTGTGTGCTTGGCGTGAGATGTCAGTGATGACATCATGGCAGCACTTTCCACATTCTGTTGAAGCCAAGGTCACTTCCTGTCTCTCATTGTCTCTGTGGTGTCTAAATTTACCCAGAAGTCTGATGGAGCAGATGAATCCTCATGAGTCCTTCTGCTAATGCTAATGCTAACCCTGTGTGTGTGTGTGTGTGTGTGTGTGTGTGTGTGTGTGTGTGTGTGCAGCGTGTCCCTCGGGTCAGTTTAAGGCGGGTTCAGGACCCGGTGTGTGTGGACCGTGTCCCGACCGGAGCAACACTCTGATCCCAGGCTCCGCCTACTGCCTCTGTCACCATGGTTATCACCGAGCCGACTCTGACCCGCCGCACGCCTCCTGCACACGTGAGTCCTTCTCTCCTCTCTCCTTCTCTCCTCTCTCCTCTCTCCTCTCCTCTCTCCTTCTATCTTCTATCCTCTCTCCTCTATCCTCTCTCCTCTCTCCTTCTATCCTCTCTCCTCTCCTCTCTCCTTCTATCTTCTATCCTCTCTCCTCTATCCTCTCTCCTTCTATCCTCTCTCCTTCTATCCTCTCTCCTCTCTCCTTCTGTCCTCTCTCCTCTACCCTCTCTCCTCTCTCCTTCTATCCTCTCTCCTCTCTCCTTCTATCCTCTCTCCTTCTATCCTCTCTCCTCTATCCTCTCTCCTCTCTCCTTCTATCCTCTCTCCTTCTATCCTCTCCGCTCTCCTCTCTCCTTCTATCCTTCTCTCCTTCTCTCCTCTCTCCGTCCTACCGTTTTCCCACAATGCAACACCTTAAGTTTGTAACTGTGCCGTCATCGGGGTTATATAGCACAGAGGCCACGCCCCCTTTTGGGTGTAAAAGAAGCTCTGATAAAGAAAAGAACCATTTAAAGATTGATGACTGGGGGCGGGGGGTCCAGGACCAGTTGGACCAGTTAACCCAGTCTAATGGAAATAATGGTCCAACAACTGCACCGCCCCTCTAATTACCTCACCACGGCAACGACAATTAGGCATAATTACAAGGCTCACTGTGTTGTGTGTGTGTGTGTGTGCGCGTGAGGATGATGTGTTGTGTTGATGGAGCAGCTACAATGTTAGCTTAGCTTAGCATAGATCAAAGCAGACTCCATTCAGAAGACAAACATTCTAACATGATGTGTTGTTGTGAGGTCAGAGCTGACTGAACATGAACATGTGTACTCATCTGCATCATGATGATGTTCTCTCTGGTTATTGACGTGATGTGCCTGTGAGTCCGAGCTCAGGGCCTCAGAGTGACCCACTCCTTTACCCCCCAGGCCCCCCCTCCTCCCCCCGCTCCATCGTGAGCCAGATCAACGACTCATCGGTGACTCTGGAGTGGAGCGAGCCTCTGGACCGGGGGGGACGAGCAGACCTGGTCTACAGAGTCCTCTGCTCCATCTGTGGGACCGCATCTAAGGTACAGCACCAAGACCACTTAGACCAGGACCACTGGGACCTTGTAGACCAGGACACTGGGACCTTGTATACCACGTAGACCAGGACCACTGGGACCTTGTAGACCACGTAGACCAGGACCACTGGGACCTTGTAGACCACGTAGACCAGGACCACTGGGACCTTGTAGACCACGTAGACTAGGACCACTGGGACCTTGTAGACCAGTGTGCTGTGAGAGATCGTCAGGTGTGCCGTGGGAAAATGTCCAATTTCACTTAATGAGTCCAATAAAATATTATTTAGTTGTTGTTGCAAATACTTTGCCATTGTTGAGCAACATAGTGTCTGACTCAGTAATAGATACTCCTCCATGCCAGTGGGGGGCAGTAGGTAGCGCAGTAATGACGTGTTAATGTAGGACAGCAGAATGAAATGATGGAGAGGTTGAGGTGACAAGACGAACAACGATGGAGAAATATTGAAAAGTGAAAATGCAGACTCTGAACTGGACAACAGAACCCAGATGAAAAGCCTATATGGATCAACACATTGAGAGACTTGTCATTAAATTGTCAGCATGTATCCGGCCCGCCAGAACATATCATGTTTATCATAACTGACCCGTTATACCACAGAGCTCCGGGACCAAACGTGGTGATGTGAGCTGACTTTATGTTCAACATGACGAAGCATCTCACTGAGCTAAACCTCCAGCTTCAGGGACGTGAGATCACAGACATGTGTGATGCAGTAAGAGTCTCCATTGCTGTGTTCCCACTGCTCATGTTGCTGATAAACTGGGTGCACTTGGTACAGAGTTCACTCGGTGATTTGCCGACTTTGCAGCTCAGCAGTTTAACTCTGAACTGCTCAGTCATTCGTTTGCAGTTGAGGTGTAGAGAGCAGCTGTGGAGCTGATAGACCTCCAGTGTAATGACACTCAAGTGTGACTCTGAGGGCGCTGCACAGTTCCCAAGCTTCATCCCCGAAACGATGCCTTAACTCCGCCTCCATGCTGCTCAAACGCTCTGCATGTTTGGGAGGACATACCTGTGTGAGCAGCTGTTCTCTGTGATGAAGATGAACACAAACCCACACAGGAGTCTCACCGATGCACCTTCACTCCATCGTGAGGGTTTCCACAGAACCTAACCCAGATATTATGAGCTGTCAGCAAGAGAAGATGCCAAACATCTGGCTCTGGTACATCTGCATAAAATAATGTAGCCTACCTCAACATGTATTCTGTTTGCACTCTGTGTAATATCCTTCTACATGTTTATTAAATGGTGACTCTGTTTGACCCTCAGCGTATAGTCACCACTTCTTACTGTGTCTCTGGGGTTGAGTCTGACTCCTCTGCAAATCTGCTGTTGTTGGTGTGCTGCGGGTCAGAAAAGGTTGAAAAACACTGATGTAGACCACGTAGACCACGTAGACCAGGACCACTGAGACCAGGTAGACCAGGACCACTGAGACCAGGTGGACCACTAACAAACACCAGCCTCCTCCCCTGACTCCGCCCCCTCCTCCTCCTCTGCAGGCATTGGTTGGTTCCTGTTCCCCGTGTGATGACAGCGTTCTGTACCGTCCGGCTCAGCGTGGTCTGACTCAGCGCCGTGTCACCGTGTGGGGACTCCGCCCACAAACCAAGTACACCTTCACCGTCCAATCACTGAGCGGAGTCTCTGCTCTCAGCCAATCAGAGCCGGCCTCGGACAGAGTCAACGTCACCACCAGCAGAGACGGTCAAGACACACATACAGACACTACGTTACCCAGGATGCCTTTCTCCTTTCAATAAAAATAACACCATTTAATTTAACCTTTGTTTTTTTCATTATCATTTTTTCATTCAGATCATTGAAGAAAAAGTACTAATGACATGCACCACAGCTGCTTCATCTATGAAGTCACTTCACAACATTTAAACTGACTTTACTTATATATATAAGTATATATATATATATATATATATAAGTATATATACTTATAATGTGTACATGTTGATATTTCTTCTCTATTCAGCTGTAGGAGGTATTGATTCAGTAAAAACAGGACTTATATTAATAAATTAAATTTCAATAATTTAAATTCTACCAAATTCTTCTTTTTAGAGGTAAAATGACAAAAAACATTTTAAATATTTCTTTTAAATATATGGATGACAAAACAAACGAAGCAGCTTCTAGTTGAGGCCCCGCCCAAAGTTATTAGCCCCTCCCACTAAGACGTGATGGACAATACGTTTTGACCGGAGATTTGTAGTTCTGAATATATAGTTCTAATAACTTAATAATCACATTCTATCACACCATAACTCCAGTTTCTAACACATTAATGATAATAATAACATTCATATTAATAATACAAATAATGTGTGTGTGTGTGTGTGTGTGTGTGTGTAGTTCCTCTTCCAGTCTCCGGTCTAAAGAGGGTGGCGGCCTCAGAGTCCAGTTTGTCTCTAGAGTGGAACGTTCCGGTTCTACAGAACCAGTTCATCGTACTGGACTACCAGCTACGCTACAGCCCCAAGGTACACTCCACACTCTACACTCTACACACTACACTCTACACACTACACTCTACACTCTACACACAACACTCTACACACTACACTCTACACTCTACACACTACACTCTACACTCTACACACTACACTCTACACACTACACTCTCCACACACACTACACTCTACACTCTACACACACACTACACTCTACACACACACTACACTCTACACACTACACTCTACACTCTACGCACTACACTCTACACACTACACTCTCCACACACACTACACTCTACACTCTACACACACACTACACTCTACACACACTCTACACCAGGCATGGGCAAACTACGGCCCGCGTCAAATATTGGTACAAAAATTGTCCAAACTATAATAAAGACTAGTGGTGGGCAGTATACCGGTTTTAATTTCCCCTATGAGATAAATTCTTCACACACCATCATACTGGTGCATAGCCGAAACAACTGCTGTCTGCTTTCAACAGGCAGCTAAATGTATTCTTTGCCGCTATTGCACAGCACTCAGCGCTAGTTGTCTTATATGTATTGAGAGGGAACCCTAGTCATGGTCATAACTTTATAACACAACAATTAACAACCCACAACTAATGCTCTTTAACAGAGAAAAACACCACAGCACACAACAGTCTGTGACACATAAACAATTTGTAACACTAATAATTGTACATTTATAAAATTTCCCCGCCGAACTGCATGCTGGGTACAGCTCACTCGCGAGCCTGCTAGCACAACAGTCTGCTAACAGCTGGGAGAGCCTCCGTCGCTCCAGTTACGTTACATTAAAGAACAGAACAGAGCGATGCAGCATCAACAAAGACAGACCGGAGATGCACCGATAGAGTTTGACACATAATAACGCTGATTACCGTGTAATATGTGTGGTATTTGTTATAAATGTACATTGGTGCAAAGAGGTGATACGAAGCTGTACAGGGAGGGGCTTAGGACCCAGGGGAATGTAGGCGAAGGAAACGGGAAGAAACAGAAGACACCCTACACAAACAGCTGTTCACCGCTCGTCACGATCCTGCAGACCAGTGATTCTCAACTGGTATTTCGTCGCGAATCCGTTTTCAGTGGGTCGCGGGCCTTTGCTTTATGCAGCGGAGTTATTCATGCTCCTTTCCAGCATTTACGGCACTTGTTCAGCGGTGCAGGAAAAACACAGACCAATGCGTTGTAAATCACGTCACGTGATGCAGTTTAGCCAATAAAATAAGGGTATTCTGATATGTTTCCTGACTCCAGTGAGATGTACCCACACCGTGACACAGGGGGGAGAGACAAGGAAAGACATTACAGAGCAGAACTCTGATAATGTTAGATGTGAAAGTCAAATATTTGTATGATCTGGTCAAAGCATCAAACTACCAAAAACCTTTGCACTAAAAACACTGTGTCTAAAATGACAGCTTAATAAGTGAGTGCACGATAAAAGATGCATTAATGCGATAAAAAAAATACCGTGTAAGATCCCAGCTAACTGATGAACACCTCAGATCTGTTCTGAGAATTGCCACAACCAAACTGACACCAAACGTTAACGCACTGGTTAAAAAGGGTGACCAACAACACTGTTCCCACTGAAATTAAATGCAAGTTACTTTTTAGGTAATGGCTTTTACTTGTAATTTATATTAGTTCACACAAACACTCCATTCATCTGCTACTGGCCCGGCCCGTCTGTCAAATTTTAAAACTCAATGTGGCCCCCAAGCCAAAAAGTTTGCCCACCCCTGCTCTACACTCTACACACTACACTCTACACACTACAATCTACACACTACACTCTACACACTCACTACACACACACACACACACACACACTCACTGATATGGTCTGACTGTGATGTAACTGTTGATCCTGATGACATCACAGGAGGGGGAGGGGGCGGGGCAGTGGCAGTACGTCTCCAGCAGGTCTTCTTCTGTGGTGGTTTCTGGGCTCCAGAGGGCCGTGAGGTATCAGGTTCAGGTCAGAGCTCGATCACAGGCCGGATACGGATCCTTCAGTCCGGAGGGGAGCTTCAACACACTACCTGATGGTGAGACAGCTGTCTGTCTGTCTGTGTCTCTCTCTGTCTGTCTGTCTGTCTTATATATACATAGATGTAGAGATAAACTAAAGCAAAACAAGCTAACATATGCTACCTGTCTGTCTCTCTGTCTCATATATACATACCATCATATAGTGTTGATGCTACCTGTCTGTCTCTCTGTCTCATATATACATACCATCATATAGTGTTGATGCTACCTGTCTGTCTCTCTGAAGGTGTTGGTTCTCACCTGGTGGTGACGGCAGTTCTCGTCTCCATGGGGATTCTGATGCTCATCACCACGGCGATACTGGCTCTGTACTGCTACCGGTAAGTGTGTGTGTGTGTGTGTGTGTTTGTTCAGGATGCTCCCTCCCTGCAGCAGAACAATGGAACACTGACCTCAGGTCCTCACACACACACGCACACACAGTAACACACACACACTCTCTCTCTCAGCAGGGTGGGACATGTTGACTCTATAAAGACGGAGAAACTCGACACTCTGAGAGAAGATAAAGATACACACAGATAATAACATTCCTGAGGGGGGGCTGAGTGTGTGTGTGTGTGTGTGTGTGTGTGTGTGTGTGTGTGTGTGACTTGGGAAATAAAGAATTTTGCAGCTACTGAAAACTAAAGTCTACTCCTGTCTGTCTCTCTCTTGTCTGTCTCTCTCCTGTCTGTCTGTCTCCTGTCTGTCTGTCTCTCTCCTGTCTCTCTCCTGTCTGTCTGTCTGTCTGTCTCTCTCCTGTCTCTCTCCTGTCTGTCTGTCTGTCTGTCTCCTGTCTGTCTCTCATCAGCAGGAGAGTGAAGGACTCTGAACAGAGTGATAAAAGTGGACACTACCAGATGGGACAGAGTGAGTTTCAGTTCGACCAATCAGATTGTGTTACTGCTGTCACATGATGATGGTGATGATGATGATGATGATGATGATGATGTTGTCGTTATCGTAGCGATGAAGGTGTACATCGACCCGTTTACGTACGAGGACCCAAACGAGGCGGTGAGAGAGTTCACCAAAGAGATCGAGGCGTCTTTTGTGAAGATCGAGGAAGTGATCGGAGCAGGTGAGCATCCTGTGGTTACCTGGGGAACCTTTAAGGAACCTTTTCAGGAACGTTTAAGGGTCTACAGATCTGTTGTTTCATATATCTTAGAAACTCGGGACACATTTAATTCAAAGCTATGTTTTTAGGAACAATTTATGATCTTGAAGAACACAGGAACCTTTTCAGGTACTTTGAGAAACGTTTGAAGAACACAGGAACCTTTGTAGGTACTTTGAGAAACTTTCAAAGAACATAGGAACCTTTTTAGGTACTTTGAGAAGCTTTAAAGAACACAGGAACCCTTTCAGGTACTTTGAGAAACTTTATAAGAACACAGGAACCTTTTTAGGTACTTTGAGAAACATTTACAGAACACAGGAACCTTTTTAGGTACTTTGAGAAACTTTTAAAGAACACAGGAACCTTTTTAGGTACTTTCAGAAATGTTTACAGAACACAGGAACCTTTTTCGGTACTTTGAGAAACTTTCAAAGAACACAGGAACCTTTTTAGGTACTTTGAGAAACTTTTACAGAACACAGGAACCTTTTTAGGTACTTTAGGAAATGTTTACAGAACACAGGAACATTTCAGGTACTTTGAGAAACATAAAGAACACAGGAACCTTTTCAGGTACTTTGAGAAACTTTAAAGAACACATGAACCCTTTCAGGTACTTTGAGAAACATGAAGAACACAGGAACCTTTTTAGGTACTTTGAGAAACGTTTGAAGAACACAGGAACCTTTTTAGGTACTTTGAGAAACTTTTAAGGAACACAGGAACCTTTTCAGGTACTTTGAGAAACTTTTAAAGAACACAGGAACCTTTTTAGGGACTTTGAGAAACGTTTGAGAAACGTTTGAAGAACACAGGAACCTTTTTAGGTACTTTGAGAAGCTTTACAGAACACAGGAACCTTTTTAGGTACTTTGAGAAACTTTCAAAGAACACAGGAACCTTTTTAGGTACTTTAGGAAACGTTTACAGAACACAGGAACATTTCAGGTACTTTGAGAAACAAAGAACACAGGAACCTTTTCAGGTACTTTGAGAAACATAAAGAACACAGGAACCTTTTAGGTACTTTGAGAAACATAAAGAACACAGGAACCTTTTCAGGTACTTGACTGGAAGCCATGAACTTTTAAGGAGCCTTTTTTTAAACCTACAAACCATTTAAGGAACGTTCTCTATGCTCAGAAAGAGGAACCAACTTATCTTTCTGGTGACTTTGGAACCCGGGGACCTTTAAGGAACTTTGTGAAACTTAAAGGACTTTTAAATATTAGGAAACTTTAGTTACTTGAATCCAAGAATACTTTGAGTAACTTTTTCAGAACCTTTTGAGAACCCTCTTAGAGGAATGTAGACTTTTATTTTGTAATGTCGACGAGAAGAACCTGAAAAAACATCAGAACAAGAGTCCACACACACACACACACACACAGACACACACACATGTACATACGTGTTGTGTGAGGTGAAGACATGTTGGTATGTTCTAATGAGCCTTAAAGGGACAGTACACCTCTCCACTCTCACTATATTGTATTTTTATTAGTTTAACGTATTTAATAATTTATGAATAGATTTGAATAACTTAATAGACATTTAGAACAGGTGTGTTGTAACATTTGATATTCACCTGTCCAGGTGAGTTCGGCGAGGTGTGTCGAGGTCGGCTGAGGGTCCCGGGCAGGAAGGAGAACTACGTGGCGATCAAGACGCTGAAGGGCGGCTACACTGACAAACAGAGGCGGGACTTCCTGTCGGAGGCATCCATCATGGGTCAGTTCCAGCACCCCAACATCATCCACCTGGAGGGCGTCATTACCACTTCCTGTCCCGTCATGATCCTCACTGAGTTCATGGAGAACGGAGCGCTGGACAGTTTCCTGAGGGTGAGACGGGCAGCAACGAGGAACACGTCTCACAGTCGCTAGTCCAGCTGTCTGTTGTCTCACGGCCCACCTGTCTGTCTGTCCCTACAGGTGAATGACGGACAGTTCACCACCATCCAGCTGGTGGGGATGCTGAGGGGCATCGCAGCCGGCATGAAGTACCTGTCTGTCATGAGCTTCGTCCACAGAGACCTGGCAGCTCGAAACATCCTGGTCAACTCCAACCTGGTCTGTAAGGTGAGACAGTCTGTCACCCGTCTGTCTGTAGGGTGAGACGGTCTGTCACCTGTCTACCTACCTGTCTCCCTGCCTGTCTCCCCACCCGTCTGTCTGTAAGGTGAGACAGTCTGTCACTTGTCTCCCTACCTATCTCCCTGCCTGTCTCCCCACCCGTCTGTCTGTAAGGTGAGACAGTCTGTCAGTTGTCTCCCTACCCACCTGTCTCCCTGCCTGTCTCCTGCCTGTCTCCCCACCTGTCTGTCAGTGATGTCTAACTGTGTTTCTGTGTCTTCAGGTGTCAGACTTTGGTCTCAGCAGGTTCCTGACTGAGAACTCTTCTGACCCAACGTACACCAGCTCTCTGGTAGGTCAGCTGATCAGAAATCTCCCATGATGCTCTTTGTTGATACTCGTTGAAGCACCTGTAGTTTAATTATTCATAAAGTGGTGTTTAAATAGGATGTTTTAAATGGTCTAATGAGCCTTAAAGGAACAGTACCGACTGTGCCTTAAAGGAACAGTACCCACTGTGCCTTAAAGGAACAGTACCCACTGTGCCTTGAAGGAACAGTACCGACTGTGCCTTGAAGGAACAGTACCGACTGTGCCATAAAGGAACAGTACCGACTGTGCCTTGAAGGAACAGTACCGACTGTGCCATGAAGGAACAGTACCGACTGTGCCTTGAAGGAACAGTACCGACTGTGCCTTGAAGGAACAGTACCGACTGTGCCTTGAAGGAACAGTACCGACTGTGTCGTAAAGGAACAGTACCGCCTGTGCCTTGAAGGAACAGTACCGACTGTGCCTTGAAGGAACAGTACCGACTGTGTCTTAAAGGAACAGTACTGACTGCGTCTCGTCCTCAGGGAGGAAAGATTCCTATTCGCTGGACGGCTCCTGAAGCCATCGCCTACAGGTGAGCACCAGTACTGCAGGTAGTAGTACCGTGAGTGGTATTAAATATAGATATTAAATATAAATAATAAATCATTAATAATAAATCATTAATATTAAATACGAAATATTAAAATTAAATATGACATATTAAATACTAAATATTAAATACTGGGGCTGCATGTGGTGTAGTGGCTGACACTGTCACCTCATTAAGAGGGTTCTCCGGCTTCCTCCCACAGTCCACAGACATGCAGCTTCGGGTTATCTGGAGACTCGAGATTGTGTTGAAAAGCGTGAATGTCTGTCTGTCTCTCTATGTGCCCTGTGATAAACTGGCGACCTGTCCTGCGACTCAGGACTTGTCATGTAGTTAAAGTGATTATTTTATATTTGACTCTCAGGAAGTTCACGTCAGCCAGTGATGGGTGGAGCTACGGCATCGTCATGTGGGAGGTGATGTCATACGGAGAGCGGCCATATTGGGACATGAGCAACCAGGACGTAAGAAAAACTTCTGTCTGTCTCTCTCCTGTCTCACCCTCCTGTCTGTCTCTCTCTATATGACAGGTGATTAACGCCATTGAGCAGGACTACTGTCTCCCTCCTGTCTCACCCTCCTGTCTGTCTCTCTCTCTATGACAGGTGATTAACGCCATAGAGCAGGACTATTGTCTCCCTCCTGTCTCACGCTCCTGTCTGTCTCTCTCCTGTCTCACCCTCCTGTCTGTCTCTCTCCCTATGACAGGTGATTAACGCCATAGAGCAGGACTACCGTCTACCTCCTGTCTCACCCTCCTGTCTGTCTCTCTCCCTATGACAGGTGATTAACGCCATAGAGCAGGACTACCGTCTCCCTCCCCCCCCAGAGTGCCCCGCCTCCCTCCACTCCCTCATGTTGGACTGTTGGCAGAAGGAACGAGCCAATCGGCCGAGGTTCTGCGACGTGGTCTCTGCTCTCGATAGGCTGATCCGAAACCCTGCCTCCCTGAAGGTGACGCTCCCAGAGGGCCGCAGGTGAGGTCGCCATCTTGTTTTTTAGGAACCAGTGAACAGGTGACCATATCTGGACTGAGGAGGAGTGACGTAGAGACGCCGTATACGTCTCTGGTAGAGACCTGTCAATCACCGTGTAGCCCCTCCCTAAGGCATCCCCTGCTTTACGGTCTGTTTCACTCTAAATGGACCATCATGTACTAAATGAACATCATGCTGTTGAAGAAGACTTGAAACTAGAGATTGAGACCATAAACTCATGTTTACAATGTTTACTGAGGTAATAAATCAAGAGAGAAGTAGAGTCATTTTCTCATAGACTTCTATACAACCAGAGGAGTCGTGTGTGTGTGTGTGTGTGTATAAATGATTGACAGGTGTGGAATGTCATTAATGCACCAGCTGCTGGAGGTCAGGGGTTACCATAGAGACGGTTACACACACACACATGGTGTGGGCGGGGCTAGTGAGTGTGATTGACAGCTGTTTATACAGACTTGTTTACATCAGCAGGTGCACAACGGTTCACATTCCTGGATTAAAGCTCAGAGTGGAGAAATATCCTGTCTGTCTCTCCCTGTCTGTCTCTCAGTGTGTCTCAGCCCCTGTTGGACCAGCGTCTCCCCCCGTCTCTCTCGTCCTGTGGTTCTGTCTCTGAGTGGCTTCGAGCCATAAAGATGGAGCGATACGAGCCGAGCTTCCTCCAGTCGGGGTTCACGAGTCTGGAGGTCGTCTCTCAGCTCAACACCGAGTAAGAGACACTAAATATATACATATATACATACTATCTACATATATATATACTATATATATATATATATCTATATATATATTAGTAGTATAGTAGTGTATATAACAGATGTGTCTCCGTCTGTTTCCGTAGCGACCTGCTCAGAGTGGGCGTGACCCTCGCCGGACACCAGAAGAAGATCCTCTCCTCCATCCAGACGTTCAGGGTACACAAAGCCCCGCCCACTCTGCTCTACTGACCAATCCCAGCCCTGCCTTCGTACTGTCCAAAAAAACCACTACATTCAGGAGGACGCTGAGCCACGCCCACTTGTTTTTTTAACCACTGAACATTTTGACCAATCAGAGCGAGCACGAAGGACCGGTGAGACTCCGCCTCCTTGGTGGTCGGACCAATGAGACTGTGACGTTTAAGAAGCACAAAACAACGTACGGTTACTGTCCTCTCTGTACGCTTAATTATGTTTGAGTCCGGTGCAACAGCACTCCGCCCTTCTTAATCCCACCAATCAGAGTTCACCACAGCGAGCACCTGGTTGGTCGACTCTCAGGTGCTGCCAGACCTCCACCACTCAGGTAAACCTAAGCTCCTCCTCCTTGGCCAGGTGTTTTTATAATCATGCTTCGAACCCTGGACTCACCGACCAATCGGCATCTGACACAGTAGGGACGTCGGTCTCTTATTGGACAGAGAGGTGTTTTAACGGCTCCCCCTTTGGCCCTGCTGTTATCGCCCCGCCCACTTCATGAAAGCACAGCTGGGATTGGTTCCCCTGAATTCTGACCTCTACTGGATTCTATTAAACAAACAAAACCCTTTTACCGGATCAGCTGATGATCAAAACAAACCGCTGCCACTACGACTGCAGAGAACCGAGAGAACCCCGGGATGGACCGAAGGGGGTTCTGGTCCTGATCGACCGGGTCAAAGTTAAATATCATCATGGAAACATCTCCATAGTCCACTAGGGTTATATTCTGTGAGGAGTTCTGGAGGAACGTGTGGAACAAACTCACAGGAAATTCCAAAAAGAGTGTTGATCTCCATCGATGTGTGATTATTGATCTGAGGGACATCAGGAGGTCCAGACGGGATCAATATTCTGTTACGTCCACGTGTCCTGGTGAAGTTTCACCATCAAAACTCTTCATGATCTGTGAGGAATATTATGGGATGGCCTCGGAATACAGAGGTGAACCTTTTGAGCGAATCTTCTTGAATTTGTTGAGATTAACGAACATCTGGTGGAAAACGTCCAAAATGAATGTGATTCTTCAGGTCTGTGGACTACTGGGAGACCTTCAGGTCCCGTTGGAGAACTCTCAGAAGGACTATGAGTTTCTTCATGTCCACATACGCTGGATTCTTTAAGATGTAAAATTACTCAAGTGTATTTTATTGAACCCATTGTGAGGTATCTAGTACTGTTTTTAAACCTTAAAGTGAATCATTTATACAATCAAACACTAGCCGGTCCAGAACCGGTGGTCCGTCTGGAGTAATGTCACTTTCTGAACAGAACCACTGCAGATTTAAGCTGATTTCACAGTTAAAAAGCAGTTTTTAACAAGTTCCTGATCCTGGACTGTTGGATCTGGTTCAGGTTTGAGGACGAGGAGAGACATATTGAATTGTAGAAGTGATGGTTTTGTATTTTAGCACTTTTTGTACTTTCTGATATTTGATCATGTTTAAAGTAGATACCAATGTTTTTATACTGACGACATTTTGTAAAGAAAAAAGAAAAAGAACAAAAGCAGATTTGTCTTGTATTTCAAAATGTCTCTGAGACCAAAGAGGACCAGTTATCAGAGTCACCAGACCTGTTTAGATCTCTAGACCAGGTCTGGAACCAGGAGGCTCCTGAACCATCAGAGCCATCGATTCTTATTAAGAACTTATTATTGTCAGCTGTCTCTGTCAGCCAATCACAATAAAGATGAACCGTCCAGCCAATGACGAGTCTGAGTCCAGCTGATTAGAACCCATGAACCACACAGTAAGAGTACTAGTACCACACAGTAAGAGTACTAGTAACACACAGTAAGAGTACTAATACCACACAGTAAAAGTACTTTGACTGACTTTTACTAAGTACAAGTATCATCAAGTCTTAGCTGTCTCTGGTCATGTGACCTCTTCTTCCTCCTCTTCCCTCAGAAATGACTTCCAGGCAGTTTGTGGAAATTTTTCAGCGGTGTGTGTGTTCAGTGTGTGTGTGTGTGTGTGTGTGTGTGTGTGTAGGAAGGATCATTTCAACATGTTATTTCACTTTAATGAGCGAACTGTTGGCAGAGAATTGAAGAAGCAGAAGGTTTAAGTTTCGTGTGTGTGTATCTGGTGTTCAGTGTGTGTGTGTGTGTGTGTGTGGTGTTTAGTGTGTGCGTGTGTGTGTGTGGTGTTTAGTGTGTGTGTGTGTGCCCTCCTGCTCTGTGTCTCTCTCTGCAGGACGATCCAAACTGACAGCT